CTTCCTTAAACCTCTCTAGGCATCAAAGGGCTTCGATTCTCCTACAAACATAGGTCTGGCTATGAGTGCTGTGAGCACGATTATTACACTGAGGAACGTACCAGCTGCTTTCTTTTTGTCCATTCCCTTCCCAACGCAGTTCAATGCTGCAGTGACCACTGTGGGTTCTGAGAAGCCCAGGACCCGCTTCACAGTCTTCTCGATCCATGGCTTCAGCTCATCCAATTCTCTTTTGGAGAGCGACATTTTTAATCAGCCAGTTAACTTCAATTATTTAGCTTGTACCTGTACAGGAAAGAGAGAGGAGAAAACAATCAACATGCTATATCAGTCCACAGTAAGCAAGAGTCCCTGTCCCAAAAAACTCTCTCTACCTAGGCAAAGAGAAGGAACTAATTCATGGAGAGATTTTCTCTGAGTGACTCTGTCAAAGTTAGACAGTAATCTGTGACCAAACCAAGGGACTGCATCTTGGCCTGACTGCTGACCAGGTTGGTGGTTTCTGTGATGCAAGCACCTGACAATGTGTCACTAGCCTGAGACCCGTACAAACACCTTTGGCATTGATCGCTCCCTACACGTTTGAATAGTTTTTTAACATAGTAGGTGTGTACGAGGGGAAGCCCATGCATATCAGCGAGGACAAAGACTGGTTTCATTAAACACAGCAAATACCCACATACAGTCTGTCACACTTAGAAAGTGCCTCCTACCTGAGGGTCCTGAAGCATGCTGCAGACAGAAAACCTCATAACTGGTAAGCGAGATAAACATTTGCAGCCCTCTATGCAAAGGGAAATTACGGCAGAGGCCAATTTTGTCAAGCAATAAGGTAGCATCTCCCTGCCTCATTATTAGACCATGAGAATGTGTTTCCTTACTGTGCACAAGCACAAATACCTGATTTCCCCTTACAATCCATGGCTTAGACTTGGAAATATCCATAGGCACATTCATTTGAAGTCTGAAAATCCCATTCAAGGTAATGGGTCTAACTCACACTTTGAGTCAAGCTTGTGAAAAAGCACTTGTATATTCTTGGTTAGTCCGGGTTTTCTCCCTGTTATCTTCTATAAACCAGAAGCAGTATATCTCTGGCCCAACTGTTCTGAACCTAGTTGTGAGCTACAGATTTCTGAGATAAAAGCTCTCTCCCTGAAACATGAGGACTTTTACTTTCAATATCAGACAGTTACACTCTGCAAGTGAAATGCTTAATTATGCATCTAGACCCTAATCTGATTTAGAAGTCAAGTCTCCTTTACCTGGGAAGAGGATGCAATCTTCTTAAGGATCTCAACCCAAGATGTTTCTTTCCCATGGGAGTGGGCCTGTACATGATTTCTACTATACAATGACTTAGTGTTACTACAGGCTCATAAAAGCAGAAAGCAAAGTTTTAAACAAAGTTATTCCCCAGAGAAAGGCTACATGACAGAATAAAAATAATGGGTTTTTTTTAGCTGAATTGAATGTACAGTCAAATCTTCTCTCACTACTTAAAGAGAAGCTTAAAAAAGCAAGAGAAGACTTGACCAAAAGGCATCCTGTAGCTACGCTTCAGTTATGGATGCTTATTTTGTATGATATAGCACAGTATCTGCTACCATTGCTTAATTTTAACAAATGAAATTCATGGGCATTAATTTAACTAGATCAAAAGCCATCACTGCATTTTTTATAAACTTGTTACCATATTAGTATATTGTAACAACAGGCTGATACTGCTATAAAATGAATTATGCTTTACACAAAAGATTGCAACTTTACCTATGTAAATTCAAAAACATGTAGTAGAGCATTCAGAAAGTTTATTGACCAACATTAAGAAAGAGAATGCTGTGAAAATCCCCCTTATATTACAACTACAGGTACCATCTTTTGGCCATGTTAATTGTTTTACATGTTGTTAAATCTTACATAAGGCCAATTGTGTATATTAAAATATCTAAATGCGGACAGCCAAAGTGTATTAGATTTCTAATAGGTGGCCTATTAGTAGAACAGCACAACACACACTTCTCAGATTAAAAAGTTGACACCCACTAACCTTCTTCACTGATACTCCTCAGAAAATGGATAATCTGAAACCAAGGCTCTCACAAAGTTGTTGTCAAAGCAACTGTGACACCTTCAGACTGATATATTTAGCTTCATCTTGTAATATGTGTGTGCCTAAAATTAAGTAAAGATTCCAATTATAATTCAAGTTTCCAAAGCCACAGTGAGACAAACAATGCCTTATACCAAGAGACTTTTCCTGCACAGAAGTCTCCCAGAGTTTGGACCATCCTGAAGATCTGAACACTTGTTGCATTCATGCTAGAAAATACCTGAGACTTTCAAATCAGTACAGTGTAGTTGCAATAGTTCCCTTGCAGCAGGGAAGGCTTTTAAACCAAATTTTGAAACCCCAAATTGTGTTTTAAGGAAGATGGAGACATCTCTTCCCTGATCAATTCTTTTGAGAAAAAAATCTAACACAATTTGCTGACAATTCTTTTGCCTTGCTTGTAAGACTAGTTTGCCCTGGGAAATGTTAAAACCTCCATAGCACTCAGCTTGAAAAAAAAAGAAAAGAGGAATTATTTATCCCCCAAGGAAATAAATGCACTAGTTCCTCCCACATCATTCCTTGTCTGCCTTTTGTCAAACCAGCAGAGGGACAGTATACGCTCATGGCTGGAATGGAAGAGAAAAGCAAAACTTCTAGGTATTGTACCTGTCAACCAACTTGCTGTGAGACTGGGCAAAGCTAACCCCACTTTGCTGCTGTTTTGCTATGAATTGACCATGTACTTTTGCTTGTGATCTACCTATACATGAAAGGAAATAACATTGTTTTGCCATAATGGTGGAGTGCTGTTGAGAGGTATTAGGTCCAGAAAGGGCTTCAAGATCCTCAGAAGAAGCACTGTGGAAACAGAGAACTATCCTCCAAAATGAACCACTGAGGCTTCAAGCAGCAATGAAAAGGCCAAACTTTAAAATCAAAACGAATACATGTGCCCGTCTTAAAGGAGCTAATTTGGCCTGTTAACTCTATAGGAGAGCAACTAGAAAGGAACAAAGTTCCTCAGGACAAAACCATCATGGTAGACTGATGAGGTGGTTTCTCCTCTTTGGAGGAGCGTTTTACCTGGGGGAACAATTCCTCGCCTCATTTCTGGACTAACGACTGCTGCAAAACAACGGCTCTCCATTTGGATAGCGCTTTGGCTCCAGAGCACGGCACAGAGCTTAACTCTAGTCTCACCCAGGCCACCACTAAACAGGGGTTGGTAACACTCAAGTTAAGCAGCAGTGGTGGGGATACCCCAACAGTGCAAATATGACATGCGACTGCGGAGCTACCGAAAACCAACGGGTCTGCTCACGTCGGGGGCAAGCACACAGCGCCCAGGACCTCGCTAAATCTACAGACGGAGCAACGGCAGGTGCCCGTTTGTGGGCTTAAAGGTAAAGACGGCGACAGGCCGCAAGAAGCAGCAGCTTGGCAAAGAGACGTCCAGATCATCCCCGGTAAGAGCACGAGCTGCCGCTGACTGGGCCAGGCCCTACTGCGCAGCCTCCGGGGCCACACAGTCATTCAGGGGCCAGCCCAGCGCCCCCACCTTGGCACTCTCCTTCTGAACCACTGGCCTCCGCTCCTGTCCCAGTTTTTTTCATGTCTGCCCCAAGGAACCTGTTGTGGCCGGACCGGGCCGGGCACAGACAAATCCAGCCCACCGCGGTGCTGCTAGAGATGTGCACCGGACCCGAGCCAGGCAGCGCGGGGAACACAGGGGTGCGGGCACCCCCTCCCCCTTCGCGGGGTCAGAGGTCAGAGGTGACAGCTGCCCCCCGCCCGGCTGTGGGGGGGCGGTGCCCACAGAACATATGGGGCCCTCGCAGACTCCGTCCCCCGGGCGGCCCGGCCCGGCCCCGCCCCCCGCCGCGGGGAGTTGTAGGGACTGGGTGGGTGTGTACCTCCCCCCTCCTCACCGCAGCGGCTCCCCGCCGCCCCGGGCCCAGCCCGGCCTCGCGGCGCCTGACGGACACGGCTCACGGCGGCGGTGATAGCGACACCGGAAGCGGAAGTGACAGCGGAAGCGGAAACGGCCCCGCGCGAGGCCGCGGCGCGCGCTGCCCCCGGGGCACATGACACTGGGAGGCGGGGCGGGTGCCTCCGGATCACGTGACGGGGAGGGGCGGTCGTGGGAAGGGGGCGTCACGTGCTCGGCCCCTGACGGTAACCCGGGGCGACCCCGTGTGTGGGAGCAGCGAGGGGCAGGCCAGACACGGGCGGGGTGGGAGTGCGCACATCTGTACGTGTACACACCTACAGCTGCAGCTGCACATACAGACAGACAGACACAAATCCATCTACATATACGCACGCACACATATACAGGTACACAGAAATCAAGTGTACGTATACATAGATGGATTTGTGTCTGTCTGTATGTATAGCTGCATCTGTATGTGTGTATACTGTACATGTACAGATGCACCCATACATACATATAGACAAATATATGCACACACAGGTGCTTGATCTGTGTGTATCTGTATATGTGTGTATGTATAGATATACACACATACAGATACAGCTAGATATACATACGTACGCACATAGATACACAAAAATGGACACACGCTTGATCTGTGTGTATATGTATGTATACACACATACATCTATAAACATACACAGTTACATATACACACATGTATACACATATACAGGTACACAACTATATATACCTATATACACATAGATGCACACGTGCACACACACACTTGATCTGTGTGTATCTGTAGGTGTGTGTATGTACACACGTGTGTATGTACGTGTGCGTACATTCACACGTACACACACAGAGAACAAGTTTGTGGGCTGAAGGTCACAGGCTACTGATGGATGCATGGAGAGAAGTTAGAAAACAAAAGACAAGTGGGAGAGAGATGGGGGGGGGCAGTGCTAGGAGGAAAGCGGAGCATTCATTAAACCCATACGAACAAAGTGGGTTATGCAAAATAATCCAGGCAGCGTGTCCTGGCCACAATAAGGCCCCATGACGCCTTGCTGCATCCTGCCATGGGGTCTAGTACAGTGTCACCACCTGAGACAGCCTGCCCCAGGGCTTCCTGGCTCCCACTGGGGCTGCACTGCTAGGTTACTCCATCAGCCGGCTGTCTCCACACTCATCCAGGCAGGTTATGACTCGATGACACCACAGCAGAGTGAACCGTGCGATTGTAGGAATTATTCACATCCCTGAAACTAACCATCAGCCGTCAAGGCAGGCTGCAGCCCTCGTGTCATGACCACGTGGCACTTCCCAGCCCGTGGTGCACCAGGGAACCATCTGGAGTAGCCGACCCCACTTGAACAAGCTCAGCCTAAGGACAGGGCATAGCTTCAGGGACTGTCAACTCCTGAAACATCCTGGCTTTGGTATCTTACTACATGCCCTAATATGAGCAATTAGCTCAAATGAAATGACTGCAGACAAATAAAACCTAAGAAAACTGAGGAAGAATGTCTTGCATTCAAAAGCTTGTCTAGCTGTATCCCGACTGAATAGTTGGTCCAATAAAAGATCTCACCCTAAGAAATCCTTGCCCCTCTAAAAATCAAAGGCAGCCAAAAGCTAAGTGACTACAAGGCCCTTATCAGCAGGGATCCTGGTTTTCTTTGATAAAAAAAAATGCTCAATTTTCAGGTTTAAAAAAGTAACCCAAAATCCACATTTTTCCGTGATTAAAATGAAACACCACTGTATACAGTGTATATATAGTTTATATACACCACTAATGTATATATCTATACACTAGTGCTGTTCCATTTTAATCATGGGAAAATGTGGATTTTGGGTTACTTTTTTAAATCTGAAAATTGAGCACTTTTTTTTTAAGTCACAGAAAACCAGGATCCCAGCTCATCAGTAGCAAGATGCTACAAAACGCACTTCTCGGCCTACTGCACTGCAAGGTAAATAGATGCAGGAAATAAACATTTCCCACTTTGTCTCTGACATTTTATTAGAAGTAATTCCTACCTATTCTCTCTTTCATCCCTTGCTCAAGCTAGTAGAATAAGGACACTATATTCATTTGCTTTGGTTCCCTCCCCGCCAACAATTATTAGTGAATGAGATGGATTATTTGCTCATAAAAAAATACTCTGGTAAAAACAGGGTGCAGAAGCATTCTATATGCAAGTATGCTTTTGATGGGATAGTTTATAGTACCAGTTTCCTAAATGACCCATGCTGTACCAGCCAGTGGGCTTTTGCCAATGTACCCAGGTCCAACCTTGGGCTTTTTGCTAGTATTCAGAAGTCAGGAAGCTCACTGCTTAACCCCCACTATTAAACCAGTCCAAGTTTCTAAGTACAGACCTGATCAACTTTTTATCCCCTCTGATCAAGGATCTCTAACAACTCAATAGAAGCTTGCTAATCCCATGGTACCAGATCCTCATTTCTAATTAAGAAATTACTACACAAGACAGTTGTGTAGTACAATAAGTACTTTCCATGCAGAAGAAGTTTAAAATATCTGACATGAGTTCTAGGAAACAAGCTATTTCTGTTCACCCTTTAAGTGAATTTGATTTTTCCATAAGAACAGTGACAGTGAGCTGGATGTTATCCAAGCTTTGTGGTACTTTTGTTTGTACAAATGGTTTTTGCAGATGCTGGTGCACAAAGCACATGGCGAGAGGGGCTATAAGACAACTACTACACGCGTATCCACAGCTGTCTGGGAAAGTAGGATAATGACACTGTGTGTGATGTGCACAGTGAAACGTTTTCAAAAGCAGATGAGGGAGGCTGCATTCAAACTATGTGTATGAGCTCAACTCGGGCATTTTTCAATTCAGGAGGAATCTTAAAATGGTGAGAAAATTAGTTAGAAATTCTATTAATCCCCTCCCCCCCAAAAAAACCAAACAAAAAATCAAAACACTTTCACTCTCCAGAAGGCTAAAAAAAATCTACTTGTTACTCCCACTAAAGCCTTTTACTTTGTCTTAACAGTAGAGGTAAAAAGCAGACGTGGACACTCTCTTACATGTCAATTTACACTACCAGTGCAGAGATGGGCTTAAAAATAAAATGAGAATAAAGGCAGGAACCTCAAGTGGCTTAAAAAAAAATCTGCAAAATGGGTCTAAATTCCATAACACAGAACTCCTGCTTCTAACTGCTGGAGAGTAAGATAAAAGCATTAAAGACATTTTCTGGTATCGTCTTTCTTCCAGTGAGGAACCAAACTTAGAGGAGACCCTGTTTTACATAAATGGGGTCAAAACCAGCAGTGGAGGACAGAGTATTATTTAAAGGGATCATACCCCAATGCGAAACTGAGCTCTAAAGGTATGAATGAGGGGCTTGCTTCTGCATGTACCACCCACGCTGAGCAGGACAAAAGGGTGAAATAGAGTCTTTATTGACAGATAGGAAGTGAACACAGCCATTGCCCTGTTGGAAAGTGGTGCTCGGACTCTCTGGCCCATTCAATCACTGCTCTCACTGCTGGGGTGAGCTGTGACTCGGGACTGAGTGGCATTTCCCCCCAATATTTAGTTCCTTGCCTTGCCCCTGGATCTAGCAGCCCAGCCAGGGGTCTGGCCGATTCTTCTGCAGGAGGAAAGAGATCTTCCTGGCCATCTCGCTACTGTAAATCCGCCGACACGTCTCGTAGGTCTCGCGCTGCCTCTTACGGCACGGCTTCTCATAGTACCGGCGCCGCTTGGCCTCATCGATGATCCCGTCTATTGTCAGAATCCTGCCGAGAGCAAAGGCAGAGTCAGCATCCTCATTTTACACCCTGACAAAGAGGCAGCACGGGCAGCTGTGCAAGCATTCGGGTGCTGAGTTTACAGCATGCTGCTGCTGGGGACTGACTGTGTGGAAAACCAGAAACAGAACCCTGGAGTCCTGCCTCTCAGCCCCTTGCTCCAATGGCTAATACATACCTCCACCCACTCGTGACTTCTAAGTGACAGAGACATATATGACAGCAGCAAAAATAATTCTCCCAACACCTTTTCGATACACAAGAGACCCTTTCCTGCAGGATCCAGTCAGCCACAAGCTGAGTTCTCAGAACAGCTGATTTCCATCAGCCACATCAAGTCACAAAGCAAAGGGGGATGTCGGAGGAAGAACCCGTGTCCCTTCCAAAGCTCCTGTATTAACCATCCCCTGGGTAATTTCTGCAGCTGGATCAAGTTTCCAATGATCCCTAGGAAAGCAGTATGAAAGGGAGTGAAATCTGCCAAAGCTGGAAGCCTGGCTTTGGCCCCCATATCTCCAAATCTCCAACACTTTGGGAAGACAGCGGATGCTGGCAACCCACCTTCCCACACCACATGACATGGGAGAATGTGATACCCAAACAGGATGAAGAGCTAAGGTGGCAGCTGTACCAAAGCCAAGCAAACAACTCTTCAGCAACCAACTCTTGTCCAGTGTCACTTCTGCAGCTATCAGCTCCTGAGGTGGATGATGCTGTGTGTGATATCAAGCAGGGCTCTGAAGGAATCCAAGTCCCTCTGCCTCGGTGGCAGTGCCAGCTATGAGCACCGAGGATGGATTTCAGAAGAAGATGGGGACTCGCTCCCTAAACTTGGAAGTGACCCTGGGCAACTCTGGCCTGATCTATAGGAAATCATGAGTTCTTCCCAGGGGAGGTATTATGCTAACTAAGCTGCTGCTCTGGGGTGGATGTATTCAGTAGCTCTGGGTCCCCAAACCAGCACCTAGATACCCTGTGTAGATCAGGGCTTGTTCTTCACTGGTAAACACTGTGATCCAGGCCACTTAAACTAGCATGCCAAATGAAAAGTTACACAGCTTAGTCACATTGGGAGGTCTCACAGGCATGCTCAGGCCAAGTCTTGTATAGTGTCTGGTCCTAACTAGCATCCAGCATCACAATATAGCAGTCACACCTGCCAGTGCCCGGACCTCTGCGATCCACTTCACCTGTGTAGTAGCAGTCCCAGGTGCTGCCTCCTCCAGCTGAGAACATCTCCAGCTCACTGTGACAAGACAGCCTAAACCACTACTCCAAACTCCTTCTAGCTCCACCAGCCCCTGGCTCCCGTGCTGCCTCTGGAGACAGGTGTAGTGAGCTCCACTCCTGTGCCAGGTAGGTGGGACCCTTGGATGCTGACCAGGGTGTTACATCCCTGCTGGATGGCTGCTTGTTCATGCTAGCCTTCCTCAGGGTCTCAAACTGAGCACTGAAGACTCAAGAAGTCTGGGTTCCTCCTTGCCCATTAGTCAGACTGCAGTCAGCGAGACAGTAGCTTCCAGGCTGCAGGTGGGTGTTTAACAGGCTCTGACAGGGAGCAGAGTGTCCTAGCTCTGCTGCAAAGCTCCCCTTCACTGGAAAGCCTTGATCAAATATTCAGGCTGCAGACATCCAGCTGCTAACCAGACCCAACACAGACATTGCAGAACTCCAGTTTCCTGGGCAATTAGACTTGCTAGAAATCCATTTTCCATGAATGGTTCTGCTGCTTCAACGCCGCGCAGTGTCCTTCTCCAGACACCGGGCTCTGGGTCACACGGCTGTCTGTCAAGATCCAGCCATTTCAGACACCCCTGGCCAGGCCAGGAACAGCATCTTCTTCTACTTTATCCTGCACAAACTTGGCACAGAGAGAAATGTAACAGCTGGGGAAACGGAAGAAGAAAGATCAATGGAAATGAGGTGCCCGCAGTCACCCAGTGAATCTGACAGGGTCAAGAACAGGGCCCAGACCTCCTGGATGCACAGAGAGCAATCAGACAGCCACAGAAGGAAGGGATGGAACTGATGGATATCAGGCCAACACACCTCCAAATAGGGTGGATTTGATTTTAAATCAAATTAATTTAATCATGATTCACACCACAATTTAAATCACTGGTCAGGAAGTCTCAATTTAATAATAGTTTTCTACAAAAATCCCTGTTATTTGATTTCCTCTATTCATTTAACTTCTTGAAACTTTGCACGTTTAGAGAGAGGTAAGGGCTTGACTGTGTGTACACAAACTTGCAGAGAGACAAGAGGGCTGCAGGGTGGGTAACCAGGTCTGTCATCTCTCATCTCCATATACAGCTGTTAACAAGGATGTTATCTCTGGAGAGACAAATCCACAGTTTGAGAAAGGAAACTAAGCATCAGAGATGCTTAATGGGATCTTCTAGACCAGAGTGGGCCAGATGTGGCCTGTCAGGCCATTCTATCCGGCCTGTGGGGCCCCTAAAAAATATAGATAATTAACATTAATCTGCCCTGGGCTGCCTGTCATGCGGCCCTCGATGACTCAGTAAGCAGCCCTCTGCCCAAAATAATTGCTCATCCCTGTTCTAGACTGAGCACTGATTCCCATTGGGTAGAGTGGTTTTCTTTAATCTTTACTAATCTATAAAGAAGCCTCTGGGAACCCCATAAGATTGGGCCACTAACATAGTCCGTGGCCTGTTGTGACCTATTTATAAAACTTTTCTAAAAAGGTTACATGAATATATTGTCCAAATAATATATAATTAGAAGTTATAATCCCTATTCCATGATGATATCTTTGAGCTTTAACGTATCTTAAAATTATCTTTATATAGATTTTTTTAAAAGCATCTTAAAATTAAAAAAAAAAAATACAATTAAATGAAAAAAAATCTGATTAAAAAAATTCTATTTTTTAAAAAAATCATTGATTTTTATCCACCCTGCCTCCAATGAGGGAAAACTGGGAGGGGTAAGAGGAGGCAGGGTGTTAATTAGGGCCCGCTACATGTTCAAATTAAATCTGGATAGAAACCAGCTCTAGAGTTCTTACATATTTTCAAGGACTAACTATAAAAAGAGTGGGTTGGCTCTTTTTATAGCTGGAGAGTCATTTTTATGGTGTGATAATTACTTTCCACACGTGGCCTGTCTAAATATATTGCATGCTTAACCAGTTAAATGCATAATAATTATTTTGCACACACAGCTGTCTTACTTTGCATGTGTGGCCAATCTAAATTTATTGTGCGATTCACCAGCAAATTGTTTAATATATGTAACGTGTAGCAGGGACCTCAAATAAATAAATATTGCCATTTGGGGTGGGAACATTAGCCTCACAGCAGCTCTGATGGGACCCAGGAGTCAGGAAGTGAAAATGACTTGCTTATTTTCTGTTGTCCAAATAAAATGAAGTGACAAAAAAAAAAAGAAGAAATTGTGAAAAATTGGTGGCAGAGAGTCCATTGGCACCTCCTTCCCCCTTCTTTGGAGTGGAGTCTGTAGGACTCAGCATGTGCACTTGTGTTATAAAACTGCTTTGGAAAAACAATATATTTTTTTAAGCCTGACAGCTTCCCTCGGCAAAGTTCAAGCAGATTCTAAGTGGAAGCTTCACATGGCTCTGCAAGCAGCCAGCAGAGAAAACGTGTGTAAAACAAATAGTCGTGAATGGACTCAAATCCCTGCCCAAGAGTGCCTAGCAGCCAATCGGATACAGCTCTGTGGCTGCCAGGTGCCCTCCTCTTCTCAGGAGAGCAGCCAACCTGAAAACAGGAGGCTTCAGCACATCAGGCACCAGTTATGCAATCTCATGTGCTCAGCAGCGGTCCCGTGGGCAAGGACAGAGGGAGACACATGTTCAGCTTGGCAGCAACGCAGGCATTTTACGAACGTGCTGGGAATTTTGCTGTGTCTCTGAGCAGACGCCGGTGATGTAATTCCAGTCCTCCGTCTCCACTAGGATCTGCAAAGCGACTGGTCAGAACAAGAGAGGATATGTCAGATCACACATTGTGTGCGCTGCTGGAAAAGGGAGTGGAGCAAGATTTGCAGGGCTGGGAGGAGACCCCAGCTGGGAGTTTTGCCAATGAGCTGATCCTAACGTGGTGAGTTAAATGTCTCACGTGGCTGGAAAGTAGATCCGCTCTTGGCAGTCAGCTCCAATGCTGCAGTGACGCATGGGAAGCCAGTGCAGCGTGGAACCAGCCTGCAGGAAACGCACGGCTCTGGAGTACAGCACACATCCCATGACAGTAAAGTGGACGATTTGCTGGGCCCTATTTTCTGCCCACTGCCTTCCAGTTTAGCAAAGAGCAGTTAGCTACACAAAGTGTCCACTGTCTACATTAGCATCCAGAACCCATAGAAACAGTCTCCTCCAGTGCTTCTCAACCTTTTTAGACTCAAGGCACCCCTCAGAAAATGCGAGAGCCTGTTTTTTAGCTAGAGAACAATAACAGAGTGATTCTTCCGTTGCAAAGAACTCAGCCCACAGCAGGGCAGGGTGGCTTTAACATGTTGGATTTCCTTTTGAAATCTCTGGTTTATCTTGTCTGCATACCTAACAGTGCTAACATGTGGGGAACCCAGTGGCACCCCTGAAAGGATCTCAAGGCATCTAGACTGACCTAGCCCTGTGACTTTCAGGGCTTCCATCAGAGGCATAAGGAGCTCTGAAAACCATGGTAAGGAGCCTTGATGAGGCTTTAAAAGCTGAGTGCATGCTGCCGCTGTAATGAGCACTGCTTATGCTGAATGAGGATAAGTGCAGAGCCTCTTCAGTCTGGAGACCATCCACTTAAAGGGAGCACACTTAATATTAAAGGCATCTATGGTGACCATAAACAGCTTTGGAACGCCACCCCCTTTATGTGAAGAACATCTCGGCTCTCGGGTAGTGCAACTCCAGCCTTTGCTCACTCTCTCTCAGCACAGAAGCCAGGTAGAAAATGGTGGGGGGGATGTAGAAACTCACACCAATAATTAATCATCTTCCACAA